TTTTATATTGTTTACCGTGAGCATCGTAGCAGGAATGAATTACTCAATAAGCATTCAGTGTTGCGACTTAAAGTTTCGGAATAGCTCAAAAATAGCACCAACTAACTTGTTGACAAGAGCATAAGCCACTGGTATAATCGCTTTTTTCCGCAGCTTTGTTAAACCTTCTTGCTGTTGCTTTTGCTACTCTGCCAGATAGCTTTTTGCTGCATAGAAAATGAATTGCTGGCAATGTTTCGCGAAACTTCAGACACTGAAATGCAGTTAAGGGAAGTCATTTGACGATGCCTTGAACACTGTGTTTCTGCGAATTTATTCTGCGTTCGCGACAAAAGTTTTTATAACTCTTACCTTTACGTTATGAGATGGTTGGTGGTCTTATAAAGAAAGCTCTGAGCGGATCTCAACGCTGATTTTGAATTAAAATTTATAAATATGAATCATACGTAGCTTTATTGCAATTATATTGTTTAAGCAGTTTCGCTTAATTAAGGGGTACACAATGAAAGTTGAGTTCAAAGTAAGATTCGCAGGGATCATACATCTCGAGGTAGCGTTCGGTTTGTAGGAAAAGGCTTGAATCGACGCATCCCCCGTCCGTTTGAATGACGAGGTCGAGACTTATATTGTGAGCGGGTCAAAGAAAGTAATCTTTGCAGTAGGGTTTCAATCGCCTAAAAATTGCATCATAGGGAGACACAGGAACTCCAATGAGCAGGCTTTTACTAAAAATGTTGCAGTATAGCAGAGATAAACATCCAGAATTGTTTCGCTCATGCTTCTTTCGGCTTGTTCAACCTCTTCCTTGTTCGTTCTGCTGTGACCATTTAAAAAATTTTGTTGTTTTGTCTGTCTACTTCCTTACCGAACTCTGTCTGAATTCATTTATGGTTCCACAGAAGGCTGCGCTCGCAACCGATTCATTCATTTTGTTGAAGTAAGCCATGTTCTTGCATGAAAATTTTTAAATTTTTTTCTGGTTGCTGCAAAACAGATTTCATCATTGGCGCAGTTGAAATGTATCATGAAGTTTTCCTGTTCATACATTATGATTCTATCCTACAGGAGGGCGCAAGGCGCCTAACTGGTTTCGGTGTTTAATTACCCATTTTTACCCGTCAACCAGTCAGCGCACTCCAAAAATCTACTTTCTGTTTGCGGCATCGGCTTAGTGACAAATGTATTAACGTTTGTCTCACTGCATTGCAATTTTTGATGACATTTAATTTTAGGAAATAAACATTTATTATTTTCATCTTCCAAATATCCATTCTTAAACAATCCCAACATATTTTTGCATAATTGTTTCAGACTGACATAAAGAAGCAGAAAGATTAAAAATATAAAATTTCATAATATAAACGCGATGTATAAAATTCGGTGTCTAAGAGTCATGATACTTTCTGTCGCAACAAATCCGCTTCATCATTTGAAATGAATTCAGCTGCACAAAACATTCATTCATTCACTGTTCGTTGCTCCATTAATTAATTTTAAAGACCATTATTCCTTTCAGGTCGAAGATGCTGTTGCAAACGAAGGCCTTTCTTGCCAATGGATCATCTTGTCGAAAATATGAAAACTACATGGTGTAAACTGTAAGGCGTGAGAGCGTCAGCCGTTCCATAGAATCGAGCGAACTGCTCTGCTGTTTAAGACTGCGATTATTCCACAACAATCTACTGAGATTTTCTTGTGACGCGCTTTTCGTTTATCCAGATTATCGTAATCATAACTTTTTCACCTGGGTATGACATATCTAACATTCAAGGATATTTCGAATTACGATGTTCTGAACATCATGCAGTTTCGTCATGGCAGAATTGCTTCAAAAAGCCTTCTTTTTCAACTGATATTTTGTGTTAGGCACAACTGACAAACGTTCCTCGCATGTGACCATGAGTGAGAGCAAGTGGGCATAATGAGTCGAAGAAATGCAACCTAGCACATAGCAGTTTTTTTGTCGTCACCAGAGACCGACTTGGCTGCCGCATAACAGCACCTGCCTGGACGATCCAGGTGATATGAAATGACCTATACATCTTAGGCATTTTATGTTCTCATCTGCTTCAGCCGTATGCCATTCACTTATGAATCACAGCCAGCGACGTTTTAGGTGAGTTCGATAATTTCATATATGGTAAAGTTAATTTTTTCACCTATCAGATCGCGTCTAGCAGCAAATACGATACTGAAATGGCAAGCTAAATCTGTAGGATTTTTAAAAGATTAGGGTCTTGCAAAATACCTTTTTGCAATCATATCCAAGTCGGAATTTTTTTTCGCAAATGCAATTTTTCGATGCACTGTTGCACTAGCATACCTGTGCACCTTTTATTTTTATTCCAAGATAGAAAATTGTCTGCGTCAAGATATGTAAGTGTTAAGAGCGCCGTTTAAAAATTTCATGCCAAGCAGCTGCATAAATCAGCAACGCAATTATTACTATGCGATAATAATTTTTGATGTAATGTGAAACAAACGGCTGTTTATACATATAAACAAATGATATAAGTACAAGAGTAAAATTTAAAATAGAGCATTGACTAAGATTTTCTTAATGTTAAAGCGTTGCGGCGTAACATGATAAAAACTGAGGAAGTAGAACATTTTTATGCGCATTTGAAAGACTTCAGAAGTGGGAATACCACTATATGCAGGAGAGAGCTAAAACGAAGTTCAAAGATTGTCATGAAATGGAATAAATGACAGTTGGACAAGAATCGTATACAGCTGTTCAGTGCTGCTTGTTCTTGGGATGAGGGACAATTCTAGCATGTTTTCGAACCAATTGAAAGCAAAAAATTTGAAATCAATGACAGCATGAGTTTAGTTCAAACAGAGAGACTCACTCAGAGAAAGTATCAGCACAGCTATCGTTCTGAAATATCACTCGACACACTATTGCTTAGTCATCGTCATCCGAGATTTGCAGAACTTAATCAACGGAATAACATGGATTTGTGATTTCTGACCGTTAGAAACAGTACAGAAGATTGATATTAGTCAACCTTCACTGCTGCGGCAAAGGTCACATTCTTTTTATATGCAAGAAAGTGCATGTCAGCGAAATCTTTCTACTTTTGCTCTGTCCAGCAACGCCTCTGCAGTCAATGTACGGTTCCCAATCGAGAATAGTTCTGAGTTTATTTTCATTTGCTTTTTGAACCGCCTTACGAAAGCAAACCAATCGCCGATTTCTGAATTTATCCGAGAGTTTTCTCAGACAGCTGGAATTCAGCATATGTTCGCTCGTGTCCCAGTAAAACTGTCTCAGTTTCGGGATATTTACTGGAAAACTTTCCTGATAGTAGATGCTTCGAGACTGTACATGAGCATCGCTACGAAAACGGTTGCCTTCAGAATGATCTTCGTATGGGCATTGAACCATTGGAACGTAGATATGTCCAGTTTATCACAGTAGCAAAATGGAAATGACGGAGACCAGAATAGAGCGTACGATTTTTATTGTATTGTTATTGTAATTGATGCTGTTATCTGATCAATAATAAGATGAACCTGTTTTCATGCAGATGCTCAGTCCAAAGGGCAACACAGGCAGGCACGGCGGTAACGGCGAACGGAGATTAAGTCGCACATTAGTCATGCTGGTTCTAGTACAAAATCAGCTCACATAACCGCCAATTCGATGGTTTTCAGCATGTTTGCGGTTACACACATCGATGCCGCCCGCCGCATTGCTGACGTCAGCAAGTGAAATGTCTGCCGAATGCGAAGCATAATCAGGTCATCACCTAAGCTGATCAAAGCAGACTAGTAAAAACAGCGCCAATCCGACGCAGTTTTACCTGCTGACTTAATTAAAGCAGAGAGGGTTCTGTCTGCCGTCTGCAACTTGATTCACGACAATTTTTAGGGTGCTAATCCGGGGACAGTTAAAGACAGCAATTATACAGCGATGAAATTCTCCTCATCACTTATTACAAATCGTCTGGCGATTAAATATATTTCAAGGAAAAGAACTATGAAAAAAATTTCGATGGGAATACAATCCAGGTTAGTTATTTTGCTCGACATTCTTTCACGCAGTTTAGGAGATGATTCGAATTAACTGATTAACCGTAACCAGACGACGGTATTTCGACTACAAATTAAAGGGATAAATTGCTCAGCAGGTTGTATGCTAAATAAATGTTTAAATATTTGTTATACTAAATTTGCTAAATATTTGCTTACTCTAATCTCTGACTGTCGTTGGACCAACGTGTATAAAAATCGCAGAAAAAAGAATTTGTACCCAAATCTTCGAGAGACATTCATCTAACAGTGGCTTGAAACGGCGGATGATAACGATGACGATATAAATTAATTCAGCTATGCGTAGTTTAAAACAGACAGCCAGCTACTCTAAAAGAATCACAGCTAACTACGTGTTGCAGCACGAATGAATGGAATTTTTTATTGAGGGTTGTTTTCTCAATGTTGAAACTAGTCACATTGTTACCTATACCTGCATTCTGTAGATTCGTGGTACATGCTTAGTCACTATGTTTAAAGGAAAGCTGCAAAAGTGCTGAATATGATCCTACTCCTTTAGCGACAGCTGTAAAATGTTTCTTTAGAAGCGGTCTTTGATCGGAGCTTCGGTATTCCTACATGGCAATTTTGAACAGTCGTTGGGTATTTTACAGGCCATCACACTCCTGAATTCAGGTGATGCTTATCGGGGCTCTTTTAACAGGATGTTGCTTATTTCCTGTCTTTTGAAACTGGTATGGATATGCTGATGCATGGTTCAGGGATCCAAACAAATATATTTTAACCACTGCAACGGGGTTCGCTACTGCACATGTAGCGTTGCGGAAGTAGTTGGGCTGCCCAAGGCGGACTACAGGAAAAGATTCTTTGATCAGAATATTCAACTTCCGGTACGTCTCCCGATATTGGTATAATTGCAGTCCTCGTAAAAGAGACATTGCAAACGAGTTCAACGCCACGTCAGGGTTGTTTGGGAAGGTGTTTCTTAAACAGGCGCAAAACCAATGAACCCTTCCAGTCATGGAATACACTGCAAAACCCATTTTTCAGAGATATCTTTTGTTTGGCTGAAATACGCCGGGTATATATGGCAAAATTACCATCGGTCTATGTGTGTGGTTTCTTTAAACTGAAACTGATGTACACAAGTTATTCATTTCGTATCTTCCTCGAATATCTGTTCTTCGGGACTACCTGCTGCAGGTGTTGAACAGCTCTGTTTGGGGTTGCAGGTAACTAGTATCATGCATATTCTTCACGATATTGCTGAGAAGGTCATGAAACACACATGAGGTAGGACGTAAATATCTGTCAGAATGGAGTGATTTCCTGTAAACTGAAACCTCATATTGCAGCGCTGGCATCCTCTCCACGGTGACGTTCAGAAACTGCATCATTTTATCCTCCTCAGCTTCCATTTAAAATTGTATCCGGCCGTTGATGTTTCTTTCATTCATAGAATTTGCGCTACCTCGTAGTTCCTCTGTCTTAGGTTGAAACGACACATTGATCTCGTTCACAAATATGACGTAGAATACCGACCGAAATTCATTTTGGCACTTCATGAGGCCCTTTACCTCTAGAAGTTCAAATACTAATCAGCCAATACCACGCTTACTGGAGAATCCATAGAAATGCCGTATGTCTGCAGTTAGACTTTGCCTGAGAATTTGAAGTTTGTGCTGGGCAAAAGATTGACAGCAATTCCTCAATGCTGCACTTTTCACACATACTGTACGATGTCCCCCATTTTTCCTTGCTCAGGATGTTAGGGAGGATTTCAGCAAATGTATTGGAATCCACGTTGTTAGAAGGGAATTAGATATTCAGTGATGCTATTAAATATTCTTGTCATTGCTGTTGTTTCACTTGAGGCCAGCTACTTTGCTAACAGCGAGCGGGCTTCAACAGCAAATCAGAGTTTTCACTTTGTCGGCCCGTACG